TGGCCTTCCTAAATTACAAGGCCAGGCATCTCATGCACATGTCAGTATTTTCATTCATGCTGCAACCAAGTGCCTGCCTTTGAAAGTTGACGAGACCAAGTTGTCTTGGGACCGAGTTGACCTGAGATGGAGTTGACTCGGAGCAAGTTGATTCCAGACCAAGTTGGCAACTTCACACCGACTCTGATGGGTATACAGTGTGTGTACATTGCCATGTTTCGCCGGACCATATCCGAATCTTTAAATTAAAAGGCAATTTGAAAATAAAAGGCAATTCGTAGAGTCTAAGTCGCTCAGACTATTATTGACTGATCTAAATCATCCTGATGCAGTCGCGTCGAATATCAGTCCAAAATTCAAATATGCACAGCATGCCAAAGTGAAGTTGGGCTAGCTCTTAGAAAGATTTATTTTTGACCTTGTTGGGCTTATATGGGATAGCCTAGTATTACAGCTGCACATGACCACATCATCACACCCAATGACTTTGCTTGAGAGGGATAAACAACTTGCAAGATGTGTGCAAACTTCAAGTGGGCATATAGGCTTACAAAAGTTACTTGTGTCATTTCACAGAAATAGGCCAAACCCTGTTGGGCCCAAATCTACAAGCATTGCTTTCATTGGGTACCCCCTACAGCATCCTTTCTAAAGTGTGTTGTAGTATCATTCAATCATATTTATGTATTTATTAAAAGTTTTATTATCGTGTGTGATTATTATGCTGTAGAAAATCTTGCAATTAATCTAGGCCATGATGTACATGTACTGCAGCCAGTGAGTGTAGGCGTGCCTAGTGTTGATCCTAGTCCTACTCCTCGTAAGTTTTAGAAGGAAATAGTCTCATGCATGGTCTTTTCCTTTCTCCATGGTCTCAAGGACTAGGCCTGTGAATTTTATTCCTGTAAAGTATAATTGTGGAATAATAGAAGTACTAATTGTAGAATACGTGTTGCCTACAAAGTCGCGAAAAAAAAAAGGATTAAAGCGACCACCATGCGCTCTACCCCCAGAACTGTGGGGTCCGGCGTCCGCTCCGAGCCCCACAGTTCTAGGGGTAGGCCCACAGTATAGTACCACCACATGCGCTCAGTATACTACCGTAACGTACCTCAACGTGCACGTGTGCCACCGCACCCACGTGTTGTCTGCAGTGCGTCTGTCCGAAGTCGAGTCGGTTTTCGATATGCCGCGAGTGTCTGGCTTTTCGATCGCCCGTAGCGCCCTCTAGCTAGCGCCGAGCCTTGAATAATATAGCGCCCTCAGTCGTTCCACTTTTCATAATTTATTGAAACGTCTGGTTCCCATTGCACCAGTCTCCAATGTCATAGGTTGTAATAACACAAGGGGCCAAGTTCCAGTTGAACTTGTTTGTAAATTGTAACATAATTTGTCGTAGAAATGTCAGGGCACGGGCACAGTCACGGAGGGTGCTCAGGGGGACATGATCACGACCCGCCAGATCGTGGGACAGAGTTCTCTCTATACGCCAAGATCGACACAGACAGAGTGGAGTGCCTGAACGAGGTGACGGACGGATCGGGGAAGCTTGTTTTCAAGGCGTGGGATCAGCGACTCGATATAGACAAGGTACCGTGCACGAACGCCTCGGTTACGTGCAGGTGTTGTGCCGCTGGATGCCTACACTAATCCAAGTAGCCATGTGGTTAAGCTTTACGGCAAGACGTCTATGATCGGCCACAAAATACTCGCGATCAGCGTCAAACACACACATGATAACCTGAATTATGATTGATAGGCCCCGAGTTCCCTAATCCGTAACAAATTCCTCTTTTTTCATTGCAGTGAAGACAAGTCCATTTAGCTTTGGTATTTGTTGAAGCTGAAATTGTTAGTTTTGTATAACAAACTAATTAGTAATACTTTTAAACTTTCTTGATGTTTATGGTGACTCTAAAACTGTGGTGGCCAGATGCGGAACTCTGCATGGGATGGGACTCCTCTCCTAAACTTCAGTGAAATTCCTCTGAAATGAAAGGCACCTTTTCGTAGCTTGCTAGCATTTGTGACTGTCAACAATTGGGATTTCTAATACCCCTGTGAACTGTTTCTCTTTCAGTATGTGGAGAGTGACGATGAGGAGGAACTGCTCTTCAATATCCCGTGAGTGTGCCCCCCCATCCCGAATTCAAGGTTCAAGATCATTGACTAGTATTGTAACACAGAAATTCCACTTCCACAGGCAAATAAAATACTTTGCAGTGTATAAAGTTTACAAGTTATACACAGATAATAAATACATTAACAAAGTCAACCAAAAAGAAAGACTTGTCCACGTACAATAATACATTAAGGTAGTTCATAAAGTTTATTACTATTAGAAAAATGATATAGAGAAAGAGAAAAAGTAGAAGTAAAGTATATGAAGATGATATATAGAAACGAGGAAGGGGAACAGAGGAAGCAGGAAGAGGAGCATATTACTGTTGAAATGAAACCACTCTCACAGAACCATTAAAATCCAGCTGTGAATGAAAAAAAGTCCAAAACAGCAGAAAATAATGAATGATTCAAACACTGTGCTGTGAGCCTAAACCACAGATAGCTCTACATTTGGAACGAGCCCAAAGTCCACGAGTGAGGTTTAATATTGGCTCAACCGTTCAGTCCTGAATCTATCCAAAATCTCAGTAAGTGCAGAGAATGGATTATAATTGATCTGGAATGGTTTTGATAGATCAGGGTCGCTAGAGGAAAGTGTGAGGGACTGTAGGGGGTTGTCATGGCATTGGAAGATATCCACATGCTCTCGTCAGAAATGTACGTGGAGATAGTAACATCAACGGTGACTTGTGATTATCGTATTTCTGATCCTTTGCCTGTTTGTTAGGTTCACTGGCAACGTGAAACTCAAAGGCATAATTGTGATTGGAGGAAATGACGACAGCCATCCAGCAGAAATGAGATTGTAAGTCTGGGATCTGGGAGAGAGGGAGATTTATGCTTCCACTGATTTTTCATGAACATTTCTAAGAATGCCGTAACTTTGGACTTTAACAAAAGTCAGTGCGACTACTTGTACTTGCAGATACAAGAACCAAACCAACATGACGTTTGACGACACGAGGAGTGACCCGGACCAAGTCTTTGAGATGCAGCACGACACATCAGGAATTCTAGAGTACAATACAAAGTAAGAGAGGTGTGTCCCGAGCCCAAAGCACTTGTGCACTAAAATTTCCTCGCACAGGGGTGAACTTCAGTACTACTGTCCAGTCTCAGAGAGTCCTCATTATTAACCACAGTCCTGTCAATTCCTTTAAAATCCGTCGGGAGGTTTGGGCAGATGTCGCAGGATTGTGGAGAGGAGACCACGTTTTAACTGCCACATTTACTCCTGTCTTTATTTTCCCTCGTTAGGATCGCACGGTTTTCGAACGTCAACCATCTCTCCATCCACTTCTCCAAGAATTTCGGGGCCGAGAAAACGATCGTGTATTACATCGGTCTGCGAGGTGAATTCACTGAGGTGAGCTTAAAATGACTTCCTGAGAGAGAACTCGTTCTAGGACTCACAGTTTTCGGTGATGGTGTTTACAGAATTCACTTGTAGGGAATGCACCTTTTTATGCCAGGTGATATTCCAATACCGATAAGGTTTAGGTCCCGTGGTTACGGCCCCCAAGTCTTTGTATACTTTGTTTTCCAATACTTACAACACCAGGTCCCTGTTATACCAAGGTAATTGTTGAAGTCCCAACGACCTTGTTATAAAGGGTTTTTGATTGCACGTGCATGGCTGTTTGTTGCCTCTCAAATATTAAGGGGGGGTGGACAGTGTGGGTCAGCAAATGTTAGAACTTGTGAGGACTTCCGCTGTGAAATTGAGTTTGCGCTTGAAAAGTTGAGGGTGGGGAACCCGGCAGGTTGATGTCTTTGTCAGTTCATCAACATTTAGAAATGAGTTGGTGTTTGGAACACCCCAACTTCAGGAACTCCTTTGGAGAAAAAAAAAATGTACCCAGTGATAGTCGAGTGTAACAGCTTTTTTCTGTACTTGACAGGCTCACCGACAAGAGATTATGGTGGTCCAATATGAGGCGTACGCGAACCCCAAAGATCACAAGACGTCACTCCACGATAACGTCCAACAGCAGATCAGTTAACCTCCAGCGTGGGAAGTCTCACCGTTCAGCCTGGACCATCTCAGAGAGCTTTGGGATGATCCTCCGCGACATCGCACAAGCCTACAGCTTCGTTTTGATTGTTGTATCTTGTGTCACATTGCCACCGCAAAATCAAAAATGATTCTACAACCATGACTTCTACCACTGACCACAGCTGTAAAAAGTTGTTCCCTTTTAAAGTGTGGGGTTATGAGATACCCGCTGGGCAAAACTAGAATCTCTTGTATGATGATTTTTGTGGAGTGTCAAGTGGTTAACACTAATGGACTCTTCCACTGTGTCATAGGTAGGGTAATGAAAAGGAATGGATCGAGAATTAAAAAGTGGAGATTCTTAACATATAAATTGTTTGTAATGTATATTCCAGAATTTCTCAGGATGGATTGCTTGAATTGTGGACACTGCACAGTACAATAAGGTTTACGTGTTGAATTTGAATAAAAATCTGGTACACGAGTTATCTGACTGCACAGAACATAACGATTTGAACTCCCCAGACTAAAGACACTGTTGCTATACCTCGAGATTTGGGGCAAGCTTTTGCATAGCGACCACCATCTTTGGAATGGACTGGTTCCTTTGTGCCCTTCTTATCCACTGAGAACAATGTACTGGTGCAAGGCGTCTCTTATGTATCTAAGCAAAAGCTTACCCTGAATCACGAGGTCTAGCAACAGTGTCTTTGAATTCAAATCGTTACATTCATGTGAATTTAAAGAACTCAGTGTACCAGATTTCTTTCAAAAGTTAACCCTCAAAAGGCTTATTGAGCAGAAAGTTGTGCTATCAGGAAAACCACTCATGATTTAATAATGGTATTGTAAATTTTGTCTCTAAATCAAAAGCGTCTGTGGCATAAATCCAAATAGCTGTACGGCTGAAAATGTAAACATGTAGGGGTGTACTTATTGACAACCTTAAAAAGGTTATTTTTGTGCAGATGCAGTGAAAAAAAATTGGCTGAATTTGTGAAATATTTTTGTTCACGTCATGAAGCGACATGTTCTTGTGAAAGCTTTAATCCTGAAAATTGAACATGAGTTCCAAAACAGAACCCATCACAAATAACTCCTCTCGGAATAGGGGTTTTCGAGAGATGTCAGAAAATGTGCCTGACTTGTGCAGCATGCTTGGCATAAAGACAGAATTGGACACTGATGAATAGGGTGCCACTTCACTTGGCTTTTTGTTATCAAGGCAGAGATGCTGAAGTAGGCAAGGTTAGGTATTCATCGGTTCATGATTTTTAAGGAGTGCAATCGTGCTGGTGTGCAGGCGTGTCATACATAGTGTGGACCTCTGCACAAAAGAAGTCCACATAATGTAGGATGCGATGGCAATGTGTGGACTCGCACACGTCCACACAATGGTCTCCCCTCTCTGAAAAACAGTTTCAGAGGCATTTTGGGGCCCAGGTTATCGGGGCAAAATAAAGAGGAACAGTCCAGGAAATCATCGTCAAAAATCCAGCTTGAAGGAATTATCCTAGTCGGAGAAAAAGGAGCATTTTCCTCAAGTTTCCTTAACCACAGGAGAACAAAGGAATGTCCACACTTGGTACGTAAATCAGGTATGGGTGCTCCTACCACAGGCTTCCACAGTCCACCAATTTGCACTCATTAAAAAATCTAAGGGCTCTTTAAAAAATAATGAACAATATGACAAAAACAGTGGATAACATCAATAAATGGGGACTATGCAATTAGTTTGTAATATTAAATGCACAATTTCACATTTATTCCGTCACAGTTTAATATGCATCATTATCATGAAGGTTTAAGTTTCTAGCATGATGCCGAGTTCTACACGTGTGCTCGATTAGGACAAGAAATAACATTACACAAGTGCTTCTCATTGAGAAATCGATGCAATTTATTCAATAAAGCAGTAAATTGACATTGTTGCTTTTCATAAACGTGTGGAAAGTTCTTTAATTATTGTTGATACCAAAGCACTCCTCCGTAATGTTTGCCACTTGGGAACCCACAGATAGTTTGAGAGAGATTTTTGAAAAAGTCAGCGGTATATCAATGCCTGCGTGTACTATACTGTGATTCTAACAAGTTCACAGGCTGTTTCGTTCTGTGACGAAATTGTCTCCAGTTATTGGACAAAATTTGTTAACATTTCTCTGATTTTGGAGAGATACTGATATTGTTTTTGGTTTTTACATGTGATGGCAGATATCAACAGTGTTGTGTTAACAAGTGTTAGTTTCTACGACTGGTAATATTCAACAAGTTTCTCGTCGATGGGTTTCAGCACAGTCCTATCGGTCAAATTGACGATCCATCCCGGCTGCAGGCCAAAGAATATCTGCCGGGGATCCTTTCTCATTCCCAGCATTCCCCGCCTGGGGTCAGAGGACAAGTCCGGCAGCGCGTAGCCAAACTTTTCGGCCAGCGCGGCCCGCTCCCGACGGATGTTGTCCGGGTCCGCCAAGTACCCGCGGTTCTCAGCGCTGGTGTAGAAAGGCACAATGTCCTTCGGCGGCAGTGCCCGTTTGGGAATGGGCTTGCCTTGGTTGAAGAAGTGTAACGAGTGCGCCAGGGCATCCAGGCTTTGGAGGTCGTAGAATCCAAGGCTGATGACGCCCCCGTTGCGTTCGACGGCTGCGATCGTCAGCTCAGTTGCCCACTGGACCTCGATGTTCAATTGGGCCTGGAAAGTATCAGCTCCCTACAGAAAAGATAATGTATGTAGAGAGAGTAGCGCCGACGTCGGCCTTTGGACACAAAATGGCCGCTCATCATGTGTACAGTTACAGCATGCAGCTATTGTGTGCTCACTGTCAAAGTTCACTGATCCATCTTGTGTCCAACAATGGAGACACTCATGTCTCCCCCTCTCTGTAACCCATGGGATGAACCTGACACGTGCATTTGGTTTTTTAGTTTTGTGACCTCCCCCAGCCCCCAAAGAAGCTACCTGGGGATTTCCAGAATTACAGTCCTAATTAGATAAACAAGACCCTCAATTGCGCCAGTGCTAAAACTTGCACAATGAGTAAAAAGTAATTAGAATTTAACAATTGAAAATGGGGCCCTCATTTGGTCATTTAGAGAGAGGTGTGCACGAAACCTATGGGAAATTGAAATGCGCTCAAAAACAAACTAATGGCAAAGGAACACTATTGGACATCCGTACAGAGATGACTGCTCTCACAGCTGAATGACTTGTTGCCCTGCACCTTCCCTGCTTATTCTTTAACGGGATAGACGTCACCCTTGAACAAGAAGTTCATATGTTCCCTATTTCACGTACATGTAGCTGATGAGTTTGTCATTTGCCCAAATTCCCAGTGTTCCTTGCCACTTCCCGGCGAGAGATCTCGAGCTAACTGAACATATTAATTTTCAGAATTCCAATAATCAAAATCCAAAAAAACCTCAAAATGATGGCCCAGATTAAATTCAAATCCACAATTGATATTGTGTTTATTGGCAATGTCAGGACTCATTCCAATAAAATAAACATGAACAGGTGGTTGAGAGACGACATAAAATGTAACCCCTCTATTGTACAATACAGGTATACAATCTGGCCCAACTTGGTATCCTGGGAGGACAGTCAGCATGCGCCGATTGTATACATTTCTATCGTTTATCTGTACTTTTACTCTACTTCAATGCACAAAATTCTCACTGGATTTATGCACCTTTAAAACATCACAAAATGGTCTCATCTCTTACGGTAAATAAAAGGGTCGGAAAACAAGTGCGAGATTGTTCTGACAAATAAACGTTTTCAAGAAAGCTGTTCACTCAGAATGGGACGGACATACCCGAGTCTGCTAACTTGTTCAAATCCTTCACTCCCTTTGTACACTCTTGGCCACATTGACCAGCTTTTGCAACAAGTAATCAGCAAGTGCACCCAACGTTTACTGGAACACTTGTGGGGGGCAGTTGCTGTAGCATTGCCCTCCCATCCACAATCCACACACTGCCATTCGGGATGCTATCCTCTAGTGGAGTCACGTTTTGTCTCCATGAAATGCAGCAGGCATGACTTCTGTTCTTTTGTTGCGACCACCGTTGAAATTTGCCAAAGACAGTAGAAATGGACCCCAGTTGAATGTTAGCATACGATGTATTTGGAATGTCTCACTTGCAAACCCTGGCAATGTTCAGAAGTCGCTGGAAGAGGTTTCGGTCCGCCTTTAATATCACCTCTTTACCCATCTGGTTCTTGTTGTCTTGTTTATCGCCTTGAAGGTTTGTTTTTTGCTTTTTTATGGTGGAGAACACATCTTTGTCCCCCTGAAGCCCCTCTTTGCAGTAATCGATCAAAGCTGCAGAACAGTCGACTCGTGTATGCTTCCAATCATTTTGATAATTCCATTTTAAAATGATGAATAGGTTTTCCTGTACTGTTATTATTTTAGCATTTTGCTTTAATTAAAGCTGCCTAATTGTAAATGATAATACTTTTCAAGTAGTTTCTGCAGCTAGTTTTCACCTCACAAAACTGTTACATTTACGGCTCTAGCACAATACTCCTCTTTCACTTCCTCTAACACCGCATGCATTAACGAGATAAGATGACCTTCAGACCAATCTTAAGTTAGGAAGAGTTCCTGAAGAAGTTAGGACTTATTGGACGTGTCCTCAAGTTTAGTGAAATTGATCCTAAGACGAGTTGTAAGATAACACAAGTTACCCTTCTTAAGACACGTCTTACATTTCACGAAATTGGCCCCAGGTCAAACACCACAACCACTTTCTCTTGGCCTAGGCATCTTGTCACCTCCACACTCCTTCCCATGATAGTATTTACTGTATCATATTCTATAGGGTTGGCACCAAAAATTGGAAGGTCGCCTACAGTTGATAACGGAAGGACAACTCTCTGCATCAAGGTGTTGAAGCCAGACCAACTTGGAAAAAATTTGATCAGAAACACCAGCCAATTTCATCAAAGCATAGGCCAAGTCAAACTTCCGATACTGATCGTGAACGTCAACGTAATGCACCTCCTTCTTGCTCCCCAAATATGGTTTGATATCTGTGGGAGGGGGTTGAAATGACCCTTCCCGAGACTTTGGTAGTGCCACTGCTTGTGGGGCTTGTTGACAGCTGGTTGAGCGTTGGATTATAATACCAATGGTGTTGTGAGTTGTCGGTCCTTTCCCAGAGAAGGTCTCTTCATCAACATCACTGTTGTCCCAGACAAGAGTGGAGAAGACTGGCATCGTCCCAGCAGGAAGGAGAGAATTTCCCCAAAGCTAGTTGACGCCTGGCAAGAGCAGTGTCGTGTTCAAGGACCATTGAATTGGAAACACGATGGCCTAGACCATTCATCAGACCAACTAGCCTTGCTGACCCGGTGAAATGTCTCACAGCCGTTGCAAGAGATGTGTGCATTGACAATGCTGCTCTTTCTTTTGCCTTCAAATACTGGGAGTCCTGTGCAGTGGACAGCACTCGCCGCTCCTGGTCCGCAGGCACATCGACACGTGATGTTTCTGTGGGCTCACAGCTGACACCTGAACTCCAAGTTAAAAAATTGAATAAGTGAACTGGGGTTGGCTCTCTTGCTTTTTCAAGTGACAGGTTGGAAGAGAGTGGAGGCCAAGTTGAAGTTAACGGGACATCATCCAGAGCCATCTTGATGATCATGGCAGCAGAAAACAGATCACGAAGTTGTCCTGGAACGTGAGACACATTTGAATCGACATCTGAAGGGCCTCTAGTGCTGTAACTAGGTCCTTATCCCGCATGCCTAGTAAGAGTCGTTCATCCTGCCTTATTTCTGCCGCTTCCAGAAATTCACCACCTTGCAAAGTTTCACAATTAATTAACGAGCCGTTCTACCTTACGTTTGTGTGTATGTCTTTCTTTAGTGTACTTTAGTACCCCTACATATTACATGGACAGGTAGCACATGCTTTCTTCCAGGAGGCTGGACAAGCCGGACACCAGATGTTGAGGAGTGCAGACGCAACCTGGATGAAGACTCCCCATTTTGTTCTGTGGTTTCCTCCTCGTCTCAAGCAGATGATGCTCCGGCGTCTTCCGTGGTGGCTAAAAAAAAGCAAAACATATGACATTATTTATCTGTAATCAACAACAGGCCCTAACTTGAACTGTTTATCCACTACCCCACTCTCACTTTACTGAAATCGCCTTTTGGTACATTTTCTCAAATTTATTTGGTACTGAAAAACTTTACTTTTGAACCCTGAAGTAGGAGTACATAGTAGTATGCAAAGCGGTGATAATTCTCCATAACAAACAATTTTTGGCAACCACATTCTTCGCAATGCCACTACTGGCATACCGGGCCTCAAAATAACAATTTTTTGGAAGGACTTTAGACAGTACGATTTACAAACTGACACATCATAAAACATATGTAGCGGTTGATTCCTTCCCGTGGGGAGAAAGGACAGAGTTTAGTAAGGGATGTTTTGTTGTACACAGGGCTAATTTATTTAGTTGATGAGCTATGCAGAGTGGGAATACATTTGAATCTTGGAAAAAAGATTGAAAAAAAGGATAACCACATTGTTGACAGGTTAGAGTTCTCTGTGATGTTCGAGGCACCATGGAGGAAGGAGGTATTATCATGACTGTATTGTGTGGTGAGTTAAAGAGTGTTCGTGTCGTGAGGTTGCCTTCTCCCTTCTGTGTGATTTGTTCTCCATTTTTGCAGAAACAACTCTGGAAATAACAAGGTCGGGCAGGTTGTACCAAACATTTAGATAATGCTGATTACAACTAAAATGGTCATTTTCAACGAGTTTGTTCTTCCTGACTAGGGGTTTTGAAGACCGGTCACTTTGGCACCTTGCCAAGTCGGCACCTGCCAACTCGGCACCGTGTATGAGATATCTGGGTAAGGTTTCTAGCTTGAGTAACTTGTACTGGACTTTTTTCGGAGGGCTTGCAAACAATCACGGGAGCGGTGAATCGCTGAAAAATTTTCCAGGCAGTACTCTTAGAGGCTCAATGACAACATTATAGCATTGCGATTGGAAACATGTTTTGTCATAATCTACAGGCATCAAGATTCTTGGATCAAATGACTTTCAAATCAAACCAATTGTAAGAGTCCATTATTAAAAATTCACCGAGAATTACACGCACTCGTCCTCATTCATGTAGTTCGGGCCGGGATCGGGCGTGTGAACTACGCACCAACTGCTACAGTACTTAGCACGCGTGTGATTTGTGCTCGGTAATGGTGCTTTGGTGCTGTCAAAGCTGTTTTGGGTGGGGTTGGTCGTGAGTGCAAGCGCGGGCTTCTACCTAATCATTTACGCAAGTTCTCTTTTAAAAATTTGGACATTTGGAAACGTTGAACATTTGTCAGACTGACTGAATTTCTATAAATCAGACACTAATGCTGACATGATTTTCTTGTATGAGTATTTTTTATGCGCGAAGTTTTCGACCCGATCCGGAACTGGATGAAGCTATCAGGAACTATAGTAAAAGTTCCGTCAGAGCTTAGTAGCCGCTGGGCTTGTGGGTCGGATCCGAGGGCAACTTCGATCACAAGCTTTCACGGAATGGCCAGGATAAGGCAAGGGTTATTTTTCCTTCAAGTTTTTTTAAAATCAAAATCAGATTTTTATTTCAAATATGGGTTTCCTTCAATCTTCCCTTTTACAAGTGAAAATCTTGTTTCTCTGTGAATTTCTTGTTGGTTGTGTTGTGCACAACTTGTAGTCATTGGGTTGCAAAAATCCAAAATGACCAAAATTAAATATATTACAACATTTACTAAGCACATGTGCGGAATTACATGTAGGACCAATAGGCTGCAAGCTTCGGTACCGAGTCGGTCAGTGCCCAGTGAGTCTGGTGCCGAGTTGGAAAATGCAGACCGGAGGCAAAATTCAGGTGCCGAGTTGGCTAAGTGCCAAGTTGGTAGGTGCCGAGTTGCCAAGGTGCCCAAGTGACCAACAAGTGACAAAGTTTTTTCCCTCACTTTAAAGGCATGAATATGAAAGGAGGCCTACGCTTAACAGTCACTTCGCCCCATTTCTACGTCGTCCCTAACCACTTCGCTCCATCTCCACTTCATCATAATCAGCCATCCTGGTCATGCATGATTTACACAGGAATCACTACGACAAAAAAGCAAAACATTACCTTTCACGGCAACGTCCACAGCCCGTCAAACGTGGAAGAGAAGCAGAATTTTCCGCTTCTTCAGCAGGACCTGTCTGACTCTCGATCATGCTTTACGCTGCCGATGCGGGATGAATCGAAGAAGTGACAACAGCTGAGTCCACATTGGGCACATGGTCGACCGTCGTCGTGAACGACATTGCGAGTGCAGATTCGGGACATCATAAAGCGTGCCGTCGCGTGCAACGCTCTTTTCGCTAAATTTTACGATTTTTGGATTTTGCATCAGTTGTGTGCATACGGAAATACACCGGACTGTCTTCGCCTTCATCTCCAGCAAAATCCACGTTGGAGGCGTCCAACGTAGACGCCATGTTGCTCAATGCGATCGCCCAGACCTTGCTGAAACAAGCCGTGCGATTGGTCCTTGTTGGTCAGTGTGAATGAGAAACGCATTGTGATTGGATAGTAGGGAAAATCATCGATTTATTATTAAGTCATGTCGAAAAAGTCATCGCTTTTATTTCTCGTACATTTTACAGAGGAAATTTTTCTTTTGAAAATGAGCATGTTTTGAGCTTGGCGAGTTTCATGGTGACATAGGACCGATTTTATATGAATTTTAAGCCTAAATCTAAATAGCTTCTTGAGGGGGGTTCACATAAGTAAGGAATCCGCACAATCATCCCGTGGTCTATAAACAGCTCTAAAAATTGCAACCCCTTTCGAATTTCCCTACAGTCACTCGAAATCTGTCGCAATCCCGAAAGCAATATCTCCACCTAGCGACAGCCCGTTGTTGGTTCAGAGTAACAGCGGCCGGGCTCCACGTTTCAGAATCCTCTGGTGGGATTTTCATAGATCGAGGAACGTTAAAGGCCAAGGAGTCTTTCAGCTCACCTCTTCAGTAAGATGGACGCCGTACTGCTTCTTGTAGATGTCAATGTTGACCTCTCCTGCGTTGACCAGGGAGTTCACATCGATGGGCTCCTCCGGGTCGAGTCTGCCCAGGTCAATCAGGTGCTGGATCTTGTTCAAGGACACCGGCAGGTACTCTCGCTTCAGGCTGGAAGGAGTAACGTGGTTAACTTTTTTTTTAAATGGCATTTACGGATTGCCCAGGCATAATTTTTATCACAGATTATAAAGCGTCTTTTCAAGAAAATAACGGAGCCAGTGCAAACACTGCAATTAATTGAGCTAAGGAGTTGCAGGACATTCTAGTGGATAGTTCCATGCATTAGTTGGTTAGTACTCTACACATTCAACTGTACTGGAGTACACGTACTCTGACACTCACTGTGTGAGATGAAAGTGACAGTGTCTTGTGTGAACTGTCGTAAAACTCACCAAAAATCTTGAATCTTCACGGTTACCTTATAAACTTCTCGAGTTGGTGCAACCACACACTGATATAGAGAAATCCTCTATTCACAAACTCTAACTTGTTCTGTGCGCAATCTTACTCAAAATGCAACACACAGTCAAAGTAAGAACTCTACCGAATACAATAACATGTAACAAAACACAGTGGGGAGTTGCATTGTAATGTGTTGCATATTCCATTAACAACACAAGCCTTGGCAATGTGTAGTTACTCAATGCACTATACTACTTGCGTTGGGCAGCTCCATCCCACGATACCTATCAGATTTTATTAACTAATCAGTTGGTTTTATTGGAATTGTTGGGGGTTTAGACAGGATTATGCTTGGCAATGAGGAAAGCAAATGCACAAGATTGGGGTTGGGAAATAATGCCTTGTTTAAGGAATACTTACCGATGACCCTTGTAGTACGGATATTTTGGTATTCTCAAGTAGAAGGGTGTTTGGCCGCCTTCAAATCCAATCCGTGGTTTCGTTCCCCTCATCCCTTGTCCTGATTTGCCACGCCCACTAGAATCACCTCCATGCTGGCCACGACCTCGTACTTTGTGCTGTGAAGGTTAACACAGTACAACCAAATATGTCGGAAATGAAATAGGCCAATGCGTGCAACTATAAAGCTGAGATGGGTTGATCAGCCCATCTTGAAGGATCAGACCTGTGTCCATCTAAGCCACTGCATGGCCCCACTTCAACACTATCATGACTACACAGGCTGAGTGATGCTAAACGACTTGTTCTGTCTACATTATATACAACAGATCCATGTCAAACAGCTTAGGGGATTGTATATTTGGGAACCCCCCACGTTTTGTCATTTTACTCTTGTAAAACTGGCCTTTCCCACCAGAAACTAAAGGCAATGCTCTGTTTATTGCACTGACCCTATTTTTTTCAACATTTTCAATTGTAAATTGTGAGAAAATGCGATGCTCTTCGTGATAAACCAGACGCATAATTTGACTTCACCACGTGTCATGTGTTATTAAACCACTCAGAGTTTCCCCTCATAATTTCCATCACAACTCTAAACCCTGCCCTCTTTTCACAACATGACCCCTACAGTTATAGAGCATGATGTCACAGTCATCTACTAAGGTGAATCCAAAAGTAAAAATGTAGCTCTCCCTTCTATTAGAGGAACTGGGTCCCTTAATACACAATCTGCTTGACCATGTTTAAAAAGTTTCAGGCCTCATTTGAAGTTTTCGGGAAGCACTTGCCACCTAGGCCTAGTATTTATTAAAAAAAGGTTGCATCCTGACTCCACTTTTCTCATCATATACATGTATCATCTCAATAAAAGTCAGTCATTACAGAAATGCTGGAAAGACATGAATTCTGGACTGAGAAACATTTACCGATGTTGTTGGGAAATACTTGGAAAATTCTCTTCACTCCCAATAGACTTTGTACATAGGCCTAGGCCTAACTGCTGAAGTGCAGTTGGGATGCAACATTTTTTCCAGCCTGGGCCCTGGGTACTTCGAGAACTCAAAGTCACTACTCCGTCATACCATGGTGGAGCTATATTTATAAGTTGATAGGCCCTAACTTTGACTTTCTTGAAGCTTAGTAGCCTAGGCCCTGGCATGGGGATGCATGGCATGCCTGGGCTGGTCACGCTGGTACTACGCGTCGTGATGTAATAGTTGACCGTTTCGATGGAAATAAACAAAAACTGAGAAGCATGAACATAATGAATGTCGTCTTATAGTCTTATTTACCTTTGTCCTTGCGCCAGGGTTGTCTCTGATGTTGTTTAATGCAACACGAGGTAAATTTCTCAATAGTTCGAGCGCACGTTGTGTCCCTGAACTGGAAGTCGCCATGTTGATAAGCCGTAGAACCCTCTCTGTACATTATATATATAGTGCTCAAAAGTGGGCAATTTTTTTTTTATATTCATCAGTAAAAGAAAACAGGAATAAAAATATTTTATATTCTTAAAAAAACGTTCCATATTTCTAAATACGAACAGCTGTAATCCTACCACAAGAATAATTTCAGAAGAGCCTCATTGCTAGTTTCAAGATGGCGGCGCCCTTGCGGTTGGGTCGTGGGATTTCAGCTTCCTAAACTTTTGAGTTGGCTTGCTTTTAAGGGGTTAGTTTATCATTAGTTGAAGTTGAATAACGTGGAGGTATTGTGTTAAAAATAAAATACGGAAAGAAGAATATTAAGGATGGTAAACTGATGTAATGTTAAGATAATTCACATGCATGACTGAGGTTGGGCAAATGCGATCATAGGCCTAACATTAGGCCCTATCACTATGATGTGGCGTCAGTAATAGTATGTTAGACCGAAGGCCATTTATGGGGTAGAATATTCAGTTTTGTAGGGGGGAGGGGCAAACTCTTAAAGGCGGTGGAGGGGGTAGTTCAGAGTATTCTACGGCAAGAGTCCACATACCTGCACAGGGACGCCAGTAATTAGTCCTTACACTACAGTGACCTAGTCTTAGCCACCAGAAAGCAAAAACATGTCCAGAAAAGTTCAATCACGGGTGAAAAACGGTTGTTTACTTAGAAAAACTTAGAATTTTTCAGACCAGTCTCGTAGGGATAGTGCACAGGGTGTAATGCGGAGCCCGTATATGGAACAGTGCAGTTGCGAAACTCATATAAAAGCCTCGACAAAGCCCTCGTTCCAATGCACATAGTCAACACATGCATGACATTACATACATGTAAGACCTGGGGAATCCTGGGGCATTTGAGAGGGAGGGATAGGTGGAAAGTGTGCTTAAAAGAAAGGTATCCCGATTTTAATAAACATGATATTTACTTGGAGTCACTTTCATCTGAAACGTGGTTCCATCCATTTTCTCTGTCGTCCATGCCACTTTCTCTTCCCCACCCACTTGCTCTACATCCTCAGCTCATCACTCTCTGATTACTTCCTTAAATCTGCAGGCATGCTGGAGAGCATGTGTTTCATTACGTTTGACGGTAATTTTTCTCCAGTTTTACTTGCTCGGCATAACGAAGGTCAGTCATGAAGATCAAGCGGTATAAGCATGCTCGGCGCCATCTGGGATTCTACAAGAATGTCTTCAACTTCAGGGAGCCGCACCTGGTCCTGGTCGATGGCACGTTCACCTGTGTGGCACTCCGCCATCAGACGAACATCAAGGATCAGCTGCCTAAGTACCTGGATGGCGAAGTGCAGGTTAGACTGTCGGCTGGGGAAGACGCGAAACAGGCCAATCTCCCAGGGAGGGCAGTGGTCACTGCTAATTTCTTTGAGCTCTGGTTGGACAGATTTTTGTATGGCTGATGGCCCTGAGCTTGTTCCATTAACCCTAACCCTCCTCAATCCTTCACCTGCTGGAGGACTGAGGAGCGTTAGAGTTAAAGACGGTTTGAGCCATTCCATTGGTCAAGAGCCGGTCATATGGTGTGTCTTAAAAAAGCTGATAAGCTTTGGATTGGCTGTACCTCATGCTGCAGACCAATCTTAATAATTATATGGAGATTATAAGGAGACTACTCGCAATAGGAACATTCCATAACATGGCGCGAAGGGTGTTAAAAAAATGAAATACAGTTGTTGAACAGAATGGTTGGAAATTAGCATTTTTAAAACTTGTTTTGGCATGATAACTCAAACGGTATGTATGTATGGGAATAAAAATCTGCTTGGCAGGCTTGAAATTTTTGATTAGGACCGGGTCAGGACAATGGACGCTGACAATACCCGGGCTGAAGGCGAGGGACTTTACTGATGTCACTGATCTGTAATGTTCTGAAAAATTCCTGACAGGGCTCCCAAAACTACTCGCGTGTTACCTCTCAGGAAGAGCCAAGATAATTGATGCAGAGTCAAGTATTAATCAATAAACACATAGTAATAACAGGTTTTTACTTGGTGCTTTTAACAAAGATCAAAGTCCCTTTTTTATTATTATTACCCCTGGTCACTGGGCCATGAAACATTCCAAGTACCATCTCAGCACCCTGGGGCATATGCAGCTATTTCAGCGTAAAGCAGCTGAATCAATCACATTAACCATCTCCGACCTCTGTTCTTCAGTGGGCAGTAAACTACTTTTCACATTCCGAGTATTTGTAGCACCCACGATTCGGTCCGTTGAAAAATTGCAATTCAGTTCACTAAAGTTCCTCCATTCCCATTCATTCTTTCCCAAAGGTTATTCCCCCTAAGCATTACTTTTGCCAACTAACCCTCATGATGTTTGGAACAAACTCCGAAGGGTGACTATGGAGATGGTGATGCACGTTGGGAAGTGGCCAAAAACAGAGAGAAATTTGAAATAAATATTTGAGGAGGTTTTGCAATGTTTCTTCATTGATTCAGCTGCTGACGACCAAATGCGCCATCCTCGAGACCGAGTCCCTCGGTAAAGAGCTCTACGGCGCAGCCAGCATCTTGAGACGCTACAGAGTGCTGAGCTGCCCTCACCAAGAAGAGCCCGTCGCTGCTGCCGACTGCATCAAGGGTATGATCGGAGACAACAACAGTCATCACTACTACATCGCTACCCAGGTGAGTCCAGATCGAGAAAAGCCAGCATTGATCTTTTTCTCTTTGATCATCAATAACTTGGTTTGGCGCCCTCTATTGAGTGGTTAGGAGAGTGCAAATATGCTACAGCTGTGCATACTTACAAATATTCATTTTTTTTTTATTTAAAGCTTATTTATTGATGCC